GAACTCTACAACAAAAGTACATCAAACAAATAGGGAAAGAGAAAAGTTTTGAATTGTTTTTCATTCAGCACAGCTCTCCTCTTCATACTGTTTGACCACATCTGATGGCAGCTCGCTTTTCAGAGGAGAAAACACTTTGGATTGATTTTTTGATGGAAAGTTCTCCATGATGAGACTTCTATCAAACTTGGGACTTTTTTATTATTAGCTAGAGAAATGGGACTTTGTATAGATTTAAATATTTTTTTAAAGTTTTCATAAATGGAAAAAGAAGGGTGTGGGGACTGACCCAGCAGGCTCGAAGTTTTTGATGATGGATGTTGTTTGTAGTTTTTATGTTTTGTTTTGTTTTGTTTTGTTTAGGATTTTAATTTCAAATAAAACTTATTTTAAAAAAAAGTTCTGCATGATGCAATGATGCATGTGATCACCTGAAATGCTTACCTGTCTCTGGGTCACGGGCAATGATCTTCCACTTGCTTTGGCAGCCGAAACACCAGTAGGATCACACATGGCTGCCTGCAAAGGTGCAAGAAATGCAGGATTCAATGGAACTTTCCATGTTTGATCATGTAGCCTTTTGGCCAAAGTTTACAAAGGACACATCTATCCTCACTTTTAAACGTCATGTCTATCTTGCCTTGTACCCCTTGTGGGAAGGGCAAGGAGGGTGTCATTGTTCTCCTCTGTGTCTTTTGATTCCCACAACAAAAACCATGCAAGGTATCTGAGGCTGAGGGGCCGTGAATACCCCAATTCATCCAATGAGCTACACTACAGAGTGGGAAGATGCCCCTGAATCTCCCAGGGCCCAGTCCAGTGCTCCGACCACCAAACTGGTTCTCAAAAGCATCTATGGACATTGGGGTCACCTTGCAGAAGTTGCTAAAATAATCATGCGTAAGTTTTAGTGTGTGTATGCACGCACATAGGGGTGAACAAGAATACTTAGTTAGAAGGATTCTAACTTGAACCCTAATCCATAATATCTTATGTGATTTTTTTCTCCTTTTTCTTCCACATGTGGTCCAGTTTTGGTAAAAAATAATAACAATAACAAAATCAATGAACCTGCGGATCAACAGCACACTGGGTCCAAGATCTTCTCTTCTTCCTACAGCACGGTGGCACACAGCAAGTGTTTGGGGTGAATCGCAGAGCCCCCACAGTGGATCCTTCAGCCCAGACAATCTCAAAGAATAAATCAAAGAAACCTTTTTTTCCTCTAAACACATTCATTATGTTTCCCATTCATTGAAAGGCTTTTTCTTCGGGAACTTGATCCAGAACCCATGGAACAAGGACAACAAAAACAACACAATCTTTGGCATTCAAGTCTGCAAGTGAAATTCCCCACCACTCCTCGATTCCATCCTAGAAAATAGCAGCTGCAAGAACAAGCAACTGGAGAGGACCTCGCACAAGAGCAGGTGCCAGATCGGAATTTGGGATGCCTGGGCAATTGTGTAGCGCAGAAGAAGAGCCATAGATGAAGCAAGAGCAAGGACCCGCACCCGAGCGTGAAATATGACAAACAATTATATTGTGGCTGAATCCAATGTCACGGATTGGGCGCTTAGCAGGAAGTCCATATATTTACTTGATGGCTTAGTGGTCATCATTTGCATTGTGGGACCTGTGGGGAATGGGATTGTCATCAGGCTTCTTGGCTTCCACTTTAAGAGGAAACCTTTCACAACCTATGTCCTGAATCTGGCAGTGGCTGACTCTGGATTCCTTCTGCTCATACTCCCCATTGTCATATATGAAATAGTCTGTATACTGACTAGGAAATTCATCATATATTATCCTCCACCTTTACTTTTTCACCTCTTCCTGATGATGTACTTCACGGGCCAACTTCTCCTGACAGCCATCGGCATGGATAGGTGTGTGGCTGTCCTCTTCCCCATTTGACATCGGTGCCATCGCCCCCCTCGCCTGTCCACCACCATTTGTGTCCTCATCTGGGTCCTCAGCTTTCTTCTCAGTGGAGTTCATATGATTCTTGAAATGATGGCTATGATTGTGATCTGAGGATATCCATTTCTTCCCATTGCCCTGCTTAGCCTCCTGCTCATGACTGTTTCCAGTGTGACTCTGTTCATCAAAATCTGCTTTAAATCCCAACAACGGAAGCAAGGAAAGCTTGTAACAGCAATCTTACTCATGCCGTTTTTCTTCCTGGGCTTGGCATTTCCATTCTCCTTGATTTGGGTATTGGTGACAGTGTTTCATGTTTTCTTTCTCTCACCTGATATTATATTTTCTGCTTGCCTTGTATGTGCCTGCCTAAATAGCAGTGTTAATCCACTGATTTAGTTCCTTGTAGGATGCAAAAGGAAGGGTTAGTCCAAGAAGAGCATGAAGGTGGCCATGCAGAGGGTTTTCAGAGAGGAGGAAGACTCCCGAGAGGAACCGGAACTCAGGGCTCAAACCCAGAATTGATGCCTTCACTAGGGTGAACACTTTTCCTCATTGCTTTACTGCTACACAATCCTTTGGATTCCTGAAGCTAATGCACAAAAGAAACCTCTCCAATGGGTGTAGGCTTGCCACAGATTCTATACAAAATGCAACAAGAGAAAGTTGTTCATATCTTTACTGGTCAGATTCTGGCCCTGCTTGGGCACATTCTCTTGCTTGCATACAGTTCAGAGTGCTTGGATGACCTGGACTCCTCCCTTGGTCAAAGCAGAGCGGCAAGAGGATTAGTTGAGGCCAGCTGCTGACCCACACCTGTGTTCAGTTCTGTGCAGCTGTGTATTACTCAGAACATCTGGAAAGGGTCCAGTGGAGGACAACAAAGATGATCCAAGGTCTGGCAACCAAACCCTATAATGAGAGACTGAGAGAGCTTGGTGTGTTCAGTCTCAAGAAAAGAACACTAAGAGGGGATATGATCGCACCATACAGGTGTTCAAAGTGCAGGTATCATAAAAGTGAAGGAAAACATCTCTTCTCACTCATCCCTTAGTATAGGACATGGACCAACAAATTTAACTGCAGCACACCAGAGTCAGATTAGATGCCAGGAAGAGCTTCCTCACTGTCAGAGCAATACCACAGGGGAACCAGTTGCCAAGAAAGGTCATGGACTCTTCCACACTAGAGACATTACTGGCAAATGGGAAATGAAGGTTAGATGGTTTCCCAGAGAAAAGGCTGCAAGCACCAGGAGCTGAATCAAGCAGACCCAGGTGCCGAGGCTGTGTGAGGGCTAGAGGGACTTGAGAATGCAGAAGTGAGACACTGTGAATTACAGCCAAGAAAAGGGGGATTCACACTCCACAAGAAGGCGGGAGATGCGGACTGTGCAACCTTGTACTGGACTAGTGTTGTATTGGTGCGTAGTGCTGGGCTAGGAAAGCTTTGTTGCTTGAAGTCCAAAGAGGCAAACAGAAACAAGTCCCTGGGAGAGGACTGTGAACTGTAGCACTGTGTATTTGTGCTGCTCCCCCATTTCCCCATTCTCTTCCCATCCTTCTTTGTGTGTATCTGTACTTTGTGTGTCTAACAGTGCTTTTGGACCCTCCACTCCTATTTTGTTAATCCCTTAACAAAATCCTTTCCCCAATGCTTGGGTTGTTGTGTGCTGAATCAAGTATGTGGTCTGGATTTGGGGGACCAGAGACGAGTTGCATGGAGGTTACAATCCAGAGGGTCCCAGGGAAGTGGGGACTCCAGGGCAGCTGACCATTGTCATGAAACTGGACAGTGTAAATTGGTGTCCTGCAACAGCAGAAAGGTGAACCCGATGGCCTTCTTAGCCCCTTCCAACCTTACTGTTCTATGCATTTATGAATCTATGAATGACATACAAATCAATGAAGGCACTTTGAAAAGCCCACACAATATTCCTTTTTGTTCAGAATCCCTTACCACTCAACACATCACCATAATTTTCTTTAAAACAATCAGCAAAAGGAAAAGAAACTTCATCCCTTCAAGCGTAAAAATGCAGGAGACATGACACAAGGGGAATGATTCAGTGGCAGGACAAGGGGAAAGCGAAGGAAACTGGTCCTGCTTTCCCTCTCCTAGTCTTCATCTGTCTCCACTGCTATGTACGCAACACCAGGCTGCATGCTTTGCACAACATCACAGCCTTGCTGGCAGGGAAAGACACAGCTGGGAAAGAAAGATGAGGACCCCAAACTAGCATGCACTGCTTCCAGCCGCTCTGAATCTAGTGCCCTCAGGGCTCATGCAGACAAATACTGAGCAGCGCATACAACATAGAACAGAACTCAGGGTGGGATCTCTGGGTGTAAGGAAATCCACAAAGTGGAAATTATGGATCTCTCAGAAACAACATACGATAAGAACATAAGAGCATGAGATAAGCCCTGCTGAATCCGCCAAATGTCCATCTAGCCCAGCACTCCATACACATAATGGCAAACCAGCTGCCCACAGGATCCCTCCAGCAGGAGGGGTGCAGGACCTCCCCCTGCCCAAGCTCCTCAGATACTGGCTCATGCAGGCAGGCCCCCTCTGGGGAAGGAGGGAGCACACAGCAAGCAAGGCTAGTAGTCACTGGCCACCTCCTCCCGAATGGAGCCACAGGGAGTTCCACATTTCCATTAGCAGAGTGTTTCTGAAAAATACAACCTGCCTCTTGTGGGGAATGTGCAGTAAGGATGCAGAAGGAATCACCAAAGGAGATGCCTTGGGAAACAGCTGGAATCCTTTGGTGGAGCTTTGCTTTCAGCTTAGCCCCATCAGAGAGGCATGAAATAGCACATGAAGCATTGCAAAGCTGACTCAGAGGGCACGCAGAGCTCTTTCATCTGAACGGCTCACTCTGCAGTGGTGCTCCTCCTTTTCTTATCAGAAAAAGATCTGCACTGTGGACATTTTTTCTGCTTCAAAGCGCACGTATCCCTCCCCTGACAGCCAGTTCAAGTGCATCATCTCCTGCTCATGTGACAAACTGTCTCAGCAGATAAACTCCTGATGGCCTGCTTATCTTTCTGGTGTTCCGGGAGAAGTCTCATTTTGCCCCAGGTTTTGGTGCCTCCAGGGGTGTCTGCAGGTCCCACATCACCAGTCAGAGGGTTCCCATGTCACACTGGTCAGACCACCACGAGTGCCTCCACCTACTTGATCTGGATCTGCAATTCTCCACTCACAGGTATGTCAGGATTACAGGGAGCCCCATGGGTTGGCCAAAGGACCACTGCTTTCACGCTCAGTAACAGAGGGAGAGCAGATTTCATGATGAGAATGTGAACTTCTTAATTAGAGCTGTGCCTCCTTTCACTTCATCTTTCTTGGCCATTTCATCAAGTTCATGCAAACTTTCTAACATCCCATTTTCCAATCGCATTCAAAGAAGCAAAGTAATATGTATGGAAATCTATCTCCAAAATAATTTTAGATGCCAACTTTTTTTTTCTTTTCAGCACAAGTACAGAGAGAGGGGGAGGGAGAGGGAGAGGGAGAGGGGGAGGGGGGGAGAGAGCGAGAGCGAGAGCGAGAGCAAGAGCGAGAGCGAGAGCGAGAGAGAGAGAGAGAGAGAGAGAGCGCTCAGTCAAATTCTAAATCCAAGGGAGTGATTTAGGCTTAGAGAAAGGAAGTCTGAACTGAGGCAAGGTTCCCCTGGAGTAGACAAATTTCAGACCTGAATTTTCCTGTAAATCGCAATGCATTTTAATTAGGAAGGACAGAGAGATACAGAAGAGTGAGGCCAAAAACTTGCAAGGAAAACAGCTCTTGCTAGTTCTCTTGACCAGAAGAAGGAAATCATCTTCCACGGAGCATGGGGAGTGGGGGGTGGCTTTGGATGCTTGCTTAAAATTCCTGGATTTCAAGTCCTTTTCCTTCTGTATTCTTCACATCCAACTGCCTTAAATCTGGACAGTGGTGCAACAGTCTATTAAGTAAATCAGAAAAGGGAAAAGTATTATTATTATTTTCCTTCCAAGCAACTAGCTTCTTCATGGGTTTGGACAATGCCTAACGGCAGCTTGCTTTCCACAAGATGTAATTTTTGGCTAAACTTTGTGATGGAAAATCCTTTAATATTCAGCAATGTGCATGTGGTTCTTACCCACCTACCTCTCTCTTGGACCTTTGCACAAATTCATGGGCAACGGATCTTCCACGTGCTTTTGAAAGATTAATGCTGCAATACTAGCAGGACAAATGGCCAAGATGCAAAAGCACAGAGGGTGCAGAATTTAACTAAATTTTGAAACAGCTTTGAACAGGTGCTCTTTAGGCACAATTTACTTTTTTATAATAAGTTTTATTCAAAAATTAACCCTAAAACAAAGAAAAACTAAAAACAACATCAATTATCAGAAATATCGAACCCGCTGGGTCAGCCCCCACTTTTTCTTTCCATTTATGATAACTTAAAAACATATTTAAATCTATGTGAAATCTTATTTCTCTAGCCAATAATAAAAAGAGTCCCAAGTTTGATAGAAATCAGTATTTTCTTTCTCCTTCAATGACAAAGTCAATCTATCCATTTCTGCACTGTCCAAGATCTTTTTTAGGATCAGTTCGTCAGTGGGTGGTTCTTCACTTTTCCAGTGTTGAGCAAATGCAATCCTCGCCGCAGTAATTACATGTAAGATCAAGTACATTTCTTGTTTACTAATATCAACAGGTATAATGCCTAATAAGAAGACTTCAGGTTTAAAAGCTAAGGATTTTTGTAACATTTCCTCAAGCCATCTATGTATTTTAATCCAATACTTTTTCGCATTATCACAAGTCCACCACATATGATAGAAAGTACCCAATTTATGTTTACATTTCCAACATCCACCTGACATACTTGGAAACATCTTAGCTAATCTATTTGGCTACAGATAAAACATTTTATACAGGTTTCCTTTGTACAAAGTTGCTAATGTTACCAATCCTCCATCATTATCCAGAATGTCATCATATCTTATGATCCCTTCAAAGTTCAATGCATTTGGATATACAAGAGCTTGCATAGGTGAAAGCCATCTTGGTAATTTATTATACAATTTTGTCTTTAACTTTTCCCACACCGACATGAATGATTTCCTAATATAGTGACTTATAGAATATAAGTTATCTATTCTTTTAGCCACATTAAAACAGAAGCTTAATAGTACAACATCCAATCAGGGAAACCAAAGTCCCCATTCTCTTTAGCCTCCTAAAATACTTTTAGTTTGATCCTTGGTTTCTTCTTTCTTCATATAAGTCTTAAGATTTGAAAGTTTAACTCATCAAAAAAATTTCTATCAATTTTTATGGGAATCATTTGAAATAGAAAGAAAAGCTTTAGTAATATATTCGTTTTGACCTAGTGCTATTCTTCCCAGCAAGGATAATGGCAAATTAGCCCTTTTTTCCAAATCACTCTCAATATTCTTAAATAAGGTACAGGTGAAGGTTTCCCCTTGACGTTACGTCCAGCCATGCCTGACTCTCGGGGGTGGAGCTCATCCCTGTTTCCCGGCCGAGGGACCTGCGTTTGTCCCCAGACAGTCTCCGTGGTCGTGTGGCCGGCATGACCAAACACCGAGGTGCACGGAACACTGTTGCCTTCCCACCAAAGTGGTACCTTTTTATCTACTTGCGTTTGCAGGCTTTCGAGCTGCAAGGTTGGCAGGAGCTGGGGCGGAGCAACGGGAACTCACTCCATTGTGCAGATTCGAACTGGTGACCTTTCCATCCACCAGCCCAGCAGCACAGCAGTTTCAACCACTGTGCCATCTGCATCCCCTATCCTTATATAGTTTATCATAATTGTCTTCTTTCAGAGTGGTACACTTAACTGTAAGATAAATTCCCAAATACTTAACCTTTTTAACAATCTGCAAGTCTACTTGTTCCACCAGAGTTTTTCTCTGCTCCTGTGTGAGATTTTTTACTGACAATTTCATCTTTTCTCTATTTATTTTCATCCCAGTAAGCTCGCCATATTCTTCAATCCTTTGTAGGAGTTTAGGCATTGTTACGTCAATGCCTGTTGCCACCTCTTCGTTTTTCAGATCCAAAGCCTCTGCCAACATGGTAATCATTAATTCCCGTAGGTCTTCATTCTTTCCTTTGAATATATTCTGGAATCTCAAATAATTAGATGCCTGCTCCATCTCTAATATAGCCAGTGAATCCCATAATGACTTGTCTGTTTGCTTTATTAATTGTGTTTCTTTGTCTACTGTTTCAATTTTATTATGTGCTTGTTGTATTTTTTGTGTATTCTGTTCATTTTTAAGTTGAACATCTGCCAGCTGAGTTGATACATCCTTAACAGTGCTATCCAGTTTGTCAAGATGTTCTCTTCATTCATTTGCGAAGTTTTTCTGCTCAGCAGACATGTTCCTCTGTTCTGTTAATATATTCCTCTGTTCTAAGCTTAATTTTGATATAGAATTTTGCATAGTCTCTTGGGATGCTTGCACAGCTGTTAAGGATGTTTGTATCACCAAAAGAGTCATTTGTAGATCTTTTTGATATTTTTCGACATCTGTGGCTTTGGACTGGTGAGTTGGACTCTGAGCAGCTGATGTAGATGTGGAAGAGGAGGAAGACTGTGTTTTTTTCATAGTGATGGTAGTTTTTTGCCAGTAATTCAAAGCAGGAACAGGAAAAAAAAGAGACGATGAAAAGAGAAAAAAGAAAAAAAATCTCCAAAAAAAAAAAAAAAGAAAAAAGGAAGGAGACTTGTTATAAATCCAATAGCCACAGGGTGGCAGCAAAGAGTTATTTTTGTCTTTATATGATGTCACAACGAAGACTAAACAAAAAAATGTCCGTTCGTCAAAAAAAAATAAGAGTTTGTCTTTCTATCACTTAATCCACATTAGTTTTTTATTCTGATTCTTCACCCTTGGGGAGGTTAGAGAAAAGAGATCTTCCCTTCCAGCCTCATATTTTCAAAAAAAAACCCCTCAGTTCCACTCCCCTAGATTAATTGCTGCTTAAACTCCATGGGGGGAGGGGGAATTCCTCCCTCTGTCAAGGGGGCTTTTCTTTCTTCTTTGTCCCAATTATTATCTGCTTCAGTTCTTTCACGGGTAATATTGAAAAAGTAGAAATGCTCAACCAGCAGGTCCGATGAACTTCAGGCCTTTATTCTATGCTAAATACAGTCATCTATGGCTTGCAGGGAGCCCTGTGTTGCTCGATTGAGAAAATCCCGAGTTTCTCCCAGTAAATGTGGAGCTGCCACCCCACATTGCCCAGAAGTATGCTTGGGCTTCTATTCCCTGCCCCGACAGGGCTTGGATGAGCCTCTCGCAGCTCACTGTCGAACAAATTACCGGCGTGATTACGGGAGCCCCCGTTCTTCACAGCCATCTCGCCATGACATCAACTGGAAGTCCTTTAGGCACACTTTACAAATGGAGAAATATGCCAATATCATTACATTGCATTTCTAGCTGAGTTTTTTTCCTTTCCTCTTGCAAGGAACCCAAGCTATGCACTTCTGCTTACATGCCACTCCTCTACATGCATATCCTCACACCAGCAAATCTTGAGGTAACCCATTGTTGTTACATGCCATGAAGTCCGACTTAAGATGACGCTATGAAAGGGAGCCCTCCAGGATGCCCTGTCCTTGACAGTCCTGCTCAGCAATTGTAAATTCAGGGCTGTGGCTTCCTTGATGGAGTCCATCCAACTCATATTTGGTCATCCTCTTCTTCTTCTGCCTCCCACTTTCCCCAGATCGCTGGTCTTCTCCAGGGAGCCTTCCCTTCTAGTGATAGGTCCAAGGTAAGGCAGCCTCAGTTTTGTCACTTTTGCTTCTAGGGAAAGTTCTGGCATGTTCATACACAAATGCATGTAAATCTAAGGATGAACGTACCTAATTGGTGAATGTGTTCTTTTTCAATCTCATCCCTGCACTGAAAATACCAAAACCCCTCCCTGAAGTTCATTCTACCTTCACTTCCCCCTCCCCTCCCCTTTCAACATGTAGTTTGGTTTTTGTAAGAGTTTTTTTAAAAATGTGATGAATCTTCAATTTCATAACAGAGGGAATCTAACTGAAACTATTCCTCTTACAGCACTGCCACACAAAACAAGGATTTCTGGTGAATGAAAGACAGCACCCTGCAAGAGGTCTAAGGGATTTCCAGTTACCGAAGCAGAGCTTAGACCAAACTGCTTCAAAAGGATCTAAAACTCATTTCTCTATAACCTTTCCTTAGGGCTGTGATTCTTTCGGGATGTTTCTCTCCTTGATCTTGGTTGATGTTGATTGGTAGAAATTATTGAAAAGCGAAAGAGGAGCCATATCAAAAGCAAGAACATTAAAGAGAGTTTGAATATGACGACCAGCTCCAATCTGTCATCTCTTCTACTGACCAGTTCCACTGAAGGCAAGGACACAGTTCACAAATGTAGTTTAGGCCCAGCCTTCATAATTTTTGATGTCTTAATGTTCATTATCTGTCTTTTGGGACTTGTGGGGAATGGGATTGTCACCAGGCTTCTTGGTTTCCATATTAAGAGGAACGCTTTCACAACCTACATCCTGAATCTCACAGTGGCTGACTTTGGAGTCCTCCTGGCCATATTCCCCATTCCTGCATACAATATTGTGATTATATTTAGTGGGGATAGCTCCTTGTATAGATGCTCATTTGTCTCTTCTGTGGTACTGAAATACCTCTTCCCATCCATGTACTGCACGGGTCAACTTCTTCTGACAGCCATCAGCATGGATAGGTGTGTGTCTGTCCTCTTCCCCATTTGGTATCGGTTCCGCTGCCCATCACACTTTTCCACCACCATATGTGTCCTCATCTGGGTCCTCTGCTTTCTCCTTTGTGAAGTTAACTTCATTCTCTACATTCTACCTCAAGCTAAGCCTCATATCTCACTTTTCCTATTTCTTGTAATTGCCCTGCTTTGCCTCCCACTCATGGCTGTCTCCAGCATAATTCTGTTCTTCAGAGCCTGCTTTAAATCCCAACAAGAGAGGCAAGGAAAGCTCTTGACAGTCATCTTACTTGTGCTGGTTTTTTTCCTGATTTTTGCTTTTCCACTCCCTGTCATTGACACAATAATGACATTGTTTAATATTCAAATTTCCTCACCAATTAAAATGACTGATTTTATTCTCCTCAATGCCTGCCTAAACAGCAGTGTTAAGCCACTGATTTATTACCTTGTGGGGAGACACAGGAGGGGTCAGTCTAGGGAAAGTATGAAGGTTATACTCCAGAAGGTTTTCAATGGTGTGGAAGACACTGTAGAACAATTGGAACTCAGGGTTCAAACCCAGGTATAATGACTTCTCAAGAGCAGACATCTTTATGCTTTCTACTTGCAGCTGTATTGGTGTTGAATTGTTTAGAGGCTTGAATCTAATGTGCAAAACAAGCTTATTAAATGGATGTAGGGTTGCCACAGAGTCTACGCATAGCTATTTTCTGGCCCTGCTTAGCCAAAATCTGGTAGTGACATGCAACAAGGCTAATGTGCTTTACATTGATTGGCTTTGGAGGATGACTGGACACTTCCTTTGGTTCCATGAACAGTCACTAAATTATCAACTGGAACCAACAAAATGGAACATCTCACTTCTCTTGAAAGTTCTGCACTTCTGTCTAATTCATTTCCAAGCACAGGTCAGAGTTCTTCATAATGGTTAAATCCTTTGATATCAGTGATTTGGAAGCAACAAATGAGACAAGGATATGGGAATGCTCTTAATAGGATGCCTCAGCAAATATTTTGCATTGGATCCAGACTTACAATTTCAAAATCAAATGGGTTTGTACAGTGGTACCTCGGCTCACGTACTTAATCCATTCCACGATTCTGGTCACAACCCAAATTGGTTGCCAGCCAAATCAAATTCCCCTGAAAGGTTCAATGCAAAAAAGGTTAATCCATTCTGACCCCTACGAACATGGTCGTGAGCCAATTTTGTCAAGAGACAAGTCAAATTTCCCCATAAGGTTCAATGTAAATAAGGTTAATCCTTTCTGTAAATATTTTTTAATCACAAAAATTTGAAACAAAGTGACAAAGAGCAACAAAGTGCCGTGCCTAATGACTCAGAGGAGTCATTGGCACGTGTGAGAGAACAAGAAGCTCCCAGCGAGAGTCAGGCCTTAGAGCAAGAAGATTTTTACTTGGTGTTCATAGCACAAATCCCCCACCCCCATCCCCTGCCCCCTGACTTTGACGAAGTTTTTCTTCAGCCAGGGCAAGACGACATTCCTCAGATAGATAACGTTGCTAGGCAGCCTGCTGAAGAGCCCATTGCTATGGAGAGTGCTCAACAGAGGAGGAGGCTGCACTGCTTGAGTCAATCAGGGGCAAGGAAAAGCAAAAAAAGAAGAGAAAGGAGTTTATCTAGCCCTCGAAGGGAGGGGCGTTCGCATTGGGTGAAGAGTGCATCATAAATCTGAGATAGGTCAGAAAGGAGGGGACAAGTGTGCTGGATAGAACTGCCATCAACAGCTCCAGTATTATTCATTGCCTGCGTAGCTTTGAAGTTATTTAGAATAAAAGGCCTTAAACCTTTATTGCCTGTTCCTGTGTGAGTAATTGGGAAGAATGCTCCAGCCTCACGACACAAAGTAACAAAGGACAGTACAATAGAGAACACTAACCTAGGTTGGGGGGAGGTTATTGTTTGGAGGGAGAGTTCAAACGATAGTCGTGTGATAGCGATCGTGCTTGGTGGAGAGATGACGGCGATCGCGATCGTGCTCGTGTAGGGAAGACAGGTGCGATCGTGGTTGTCACCTGATGTGGAGTTTGCAACCTGAGGCAATTTATTTCTGAAATTTCTGTTTGCTACCCAAATTGGTTGTGAAGTGAGGAGTTTTTGAGCCAAAGTACCATTGTATCTGTTAAGGTTCTGAGATCAGCTGCAGGAGGAAGTGTTGGTAAGGTCAATTTTAAAAATACATATACAATAATGAGGGTATTCTTTTACTGGTTTACCTGTAAGTTGACTTGGATATATTTCACTGAAATACAACAAATGATATAAAAAGAAATGATGTCACATCAATAAGATGCTATCTGGGATAGGGAGATTAAAAACTTTCAGGAATTCCTTAAGAAGGAAAGACCAAGTATGGAATTTCTGGTCCGTAGCAAAGTTGTATTCAGAGTCCTGTTACATCACACACAAACAACTTTATTGTGGCAGAAGCAGAAGTGTAAGGCAAAGTCTACAGACTGAAGGAGGAAATATACCCTAACCCTAATTCTTAGCAATGTCCTAGGTTAATACATGAGATGAACATCAGGTGCAAACGTGTAACTTCAAAGGAATCTCTTGGGTTGTGTGTGATGGTTTCCTTTTGCAAAGGTGCATTGATTGCCTGCATAGCCCAGCTGACCATTCCCTCCGTGCCATTTTTAATCCACTAAGAGTGGCAAGGATCCAGAGCAGAGCTGGTGGCATGAATCTGTCAAAGCACCTTGGCAGCACCTGCAGCTTTACCAACTGAAACTCATCCAGCAAACTTAGACCAGGCTCAAACCAAGAAAATGCAGTTCAGTAGGGATAAAGGCATGGATCAAGATTTGGATCCTCTCCACCATCATCACCATCTCCTGACACAGAAAGAAAAATGCACAGAAGAAGAGAAGAAAGCCTTGTGGGGTCCTATGGTAAAACAGCTGGGAACTGGAAAAAATCCCCATTCTTCTCTGTATGTACTTCTTGTGTAGCATCTTCTGTTAAAGGTGCTTTCTGATTAAAAAGAAGAGTTTCTTTCTTCCAAATTCGCCAATAAGTATTATCTTTGCTGCCAATTGAAGAATGTTTTCCTTTTGCTAAATGCAGCTGGCAACTGGGTTAAGCCAAGGGAAATGGCTGAAGAAATAGGCTGTGTGTCTCACAACACACATGGTGAGGTTTTGTTTTTATTTGCCTGGCATAAGGGAGTCAGCAATGCCAGCAATGCAATTGTTGTCATCATCAGTTGATCCTGTGTACCACCGAATGCCTTGGTGTTACACAGGAGAAGGCACTGAAATTACCAGATAGGAAACAAGCTGGAAAAAGAGCATCAGTAGTTGATATGCATGGACGGCGAGAGAAGAAAGTGCTGGAACGTGCAGCTCACAGTTGACAGACAGGGAAGTTTAATGAAGTCTCAATATGTCAAAAGAGGAAAATGTGCAAGATGCATATGAACCCTGGTGCATGTTTAAAGTTGCATAATTGTGTGCTATTTCTTGTCGAAATGTGTGCATATCGTTAGCAGAACTTACATTTTTCGGAGAATGTGTTTTACTGCTCAGCTTCACATTTGAGGTAAGAAACAGGGCATGGTGAAATGCATTGCAAGCTTGCTTGCTTGCTTGCTTTTCATTACACAGCTTCCCATTTCCTTTTTTAAAGCAATCTTTAGCCCAACAAATATTTAGTCCACGCAGAGGGAGTCAAACCATGCTTTTTATCATCTCATCATTCATCATGCCAGGTGGGGAGCTTTGGAAACAACATGGATGAATTCATGACTCTTTCTCTCCCACTTATGAATGTTTTAAGCTCCAACTTCCTTCCTGTTATGAAGAAGCTTGCCAATGCTGTGATGCCATTATCAAGAAACAAAGCCAGTGAAATCTCAGCCACCCAAATGGACAGCTCTTCTAAGCAGAAGGAACAGTGTTGTAATTGCTTGTTCTTTGGCTATTAAAGGCAAAAGATAGATTTGCACATCACAGCCAGTGTTCTTGTGCGGTTTCTACGAAGCATGTTTTTCACCTTCCTATTTTTTCCTACTCAAGTGTGGTTTTATCCATCCTCACTCAGTCCTCCCACTGTTGGCACAGATCCCATCAGCCACCACACCTGAAATTCAATTCCATGCTATACAGATGTTTTTTTTCTAAAAACTAAATGCACCATGATGAAATGTCATGACAGGGTTTGGATGACACAACAGATCATCTTGTGCAAGAAACCACCAAGGTGAGGTGTCATGCAATCCCACCCAAAGTGTCCACCAAGAGGAAAAAGGAGGGGACAACCCAAATTCAGCAGCACAACTATAAGACCTAAACCTGACTGGTCAAATATACTAGCATGGATTTCCCCCATTTCAGAGCTGGTATTTTGTCTCAGCATATTTTTCCATATTACATTTTTTATGTCTGCCATGGTCCCGAATGGGCTGCTGCAACTGCCTCATATAATCATGATTGTGTTAATATCCTTCCGCATGGAACAGGAAAGCCAGGATATAAATGCAGTAAGTGCATGTACCTGAAAAGCGTTCCAAACACTGACATGGTTTTCATTTTCTTACTAAGTACAACACAGTTTTCTTGAATCCTACCATCTTAAGATACACGTGCGACTGCATCTTCTCCTAAATGCATTTTGACAACCAATAAAAATAACATTTCCTCCTCTTCATGTGAGAAGGCACAATCCCAGGCAAGGATAGACATAAAGCATAGAAAAAGGGGGCAGGACTTTGCCGCCAGGGAATCAGGGGAGTAGAAGGCCTTTTGGGGTCCAAACTGGCCTAAGATTGTGCCTGATTAAACAAAAAGCGAGACCCGGTGGACTGAGCATCTCGCCATGTGCTTAGTGGGACATCTATTCTTGCTTGAAGGCTTCAGCAATGATTTCATGTAAGTCTTTCTGTAATGACTACTGAACTGCAGGGCACAGGACTGCTGTTGTCTTTGTCCCATCTTATCTGGAGAACTTTCCCTTGTAAGTGTAAGGAAAGCTTTCTTATTTTCTTATTTTTTATAAGAAAGCACAGACAGAGGGTTAGGACATGTCTTATCCCACAGTGAGGAGGACAGAAGAATAATTGTGGGTTAAGAATGCAATCCTGTGTACCTTTCATAAGAAGGAAGCCCCATTGGTTTTAATGGGACTTACAGCCATGTAAAAATGCTGAAGAATCAATTGAATGAATTAGGAAAGCAAAATTGAAGGGGAGGGGGAAATTGGCAACGCACCTTTCCATTCTGAATCTCAGCTTTGTACATCTGCAGAAACAGGTCTTAATTTCAACTACCCAGCACTGCCTTTTAATTCTTTCTAAATCTTGGACTCAGCAGCAGACAAAAGGAGAAGTTTGATTTTGTTGTGAGGTATCCAGGAAAAGAATGTGATGGGGTAAAACCCTTCATGAGTTCTAAGCTTTCACAACTGGGAAAACACAGACGTGTGCTCACTTTCCCAACCCATCCGTTCACCTAGCACGGTTATCAGCCCAGACAAAGAATTCTCAGAGTGGCTTCATCTGGGTTCCCCAAGGGTAAGGCTCGGACTCTGCCTCTTGGAGAATGTTTTAACTGACCTGTTAGCTGGCGCCCCATTCAGCAAGGATGGGTTTATTTTACTTGTGAAATCTCTTCACACTGAAAGCAAGAAATGCCTTTGCAAGTATTAAGGGAGTGATCTGAGCACATTTCAAGTTCAGCAGCTCCTGAACATAGGGCCAATGAGCATCCTATGCAGAGAGGGAGGTGCAGTGAGAGTGATCTTGGCCTCCTCCCATCTTCCACCAGGTTCCTGTTTCAGCCATTGAGGTGGAGGGAAGAAATGGGCGAGGGCACAAGACAGCTCATAGCTGGTCTGAAGTGCCCCTTCCTTGCTCCCTTTCTCTTCTCCGAGGTTGAGTTGCTCGCCTGAAGAGGTAGCCGGTGTGGTGTCATGGCGGTGGGCTGTGAGCAGGAGAGGTGGATTTGAAGGTTGGAAGGTCCAAGGCTGGAATTGTTTCTGACTTCAGATCAGGGAAACTGGAGCATCCTGGGCTCCCCTAAACCAACAGTCCCCAACCTTTCTGGCACCAGGGACCAGTTTTGTAGAAGACTATTTTTCCATGGACCGTGGGGATGGTTTTGGGATGGTACAAGTGCGTTACATTGATTGTGCACTTCATTTCTATTATTATTGCATTGTAATATATAATGAAATAATTATTCAATTCAAGTAATGCAGAATCAGTGGAAGCCCTGAGCTCGTTTTCCTGCAGCTAGATGGTCCCATCTGGGAGTGA